CCCCCCACCACAGCTCTCCCCCGGCTCTCCCTTTCCTCTGAAAGTTTCTACTCGAACCTGAAAGAGATCCGAAGCAGCGGTGAGGATTTCTCCCAACGTGCAGGACGCAGCAGAGAGCGGACCAGGACCAGGACCAGGACCAGGACCAGGACCAGGACCAGGACCAGGACCAGGACCAGGAGCAAGCTGTGGACGGGACTTTTTTTTAATTTTGATTTTATTTTTGCTGCTTTTCCTGGACCATTGAAGGGTTTTGCAGACTGACTGAGATGGGCTTTGAGTCCAGAGAAGGAGCGCTTGTTGCTTTAGTTTGACTCTGTGCGCCCCCCGGCTTCAAAGACCCCCACGCCTCAAGACCCCCGCCCCAGTCCTCCGGGGCCTCCCCCTGCAGAGAGGTGGTAATGTTAGCGGTGGGTCAGATGGACGGGTCCCGACAGAGCGCCTTCCTCCTCAGCACCCCTCCCCTGGCAGCTCTGCACAGCATGGCCGAGATGAAGACCCCCCTGTACCCGGCCTACCCGCTCTCCTCCACCTCCCCGGCCACCACCTCCCCCAACCCGGGCGGCATGGCCGTGTCCTCCCCGGGGATCAAGAGCTCCACGGGCTTGTCGCCGGGGCTCGGCTCCCCGCAGCAGTGCTCCTCCGCCACTCCCCACGGGATTAACGACATCCTCAGCCGGCCCACGGTGTCGCTGTCCGGCGGCACGGCGGTGGTGACCGCCGCCTCCTCCTCGGCGGGGATCCTGTCGGGACTGCCCCGCTTCAGCAGCCTCAGCCCCCCGCCGCCTCCCGGACTCTACTTCAGCCCCGGCGCGGCGGCGGCGGTGGCCGTGGCCCGCTACCCCAAACCCTTAGCGGAGCTCCCGGGGAGGACGCCCATCTTCTGGCCGGGAGTCATGCAGAGTCCGCACTGGAGGGACGCCAGGTTCGCGTGTTCCCCCCGTAAGTGTCCCAAAACACAGCCCCTATAAATAAACCACAACAACATGGGATAAAACACAACATCTGGACGCTTTTATCACAAAATAAATTATTATTATTTAGCAGGAGAAACAAGAACGTGTAGTTTAAAGTTAAATTATAGGAGTTTTGTGTGTCTGTGTGTGTGCGTGTGTGTGTGTGTGTGTGTTGCAGATCAGAACTCGGTGCTGCTGGACAAAGATGGGAAGAGGAAACACACACGGCCCACCTTCTCTGGGCAGCAGATCTTTGCTCTGGAAAAGACTTTTGAACAAACGAAATACCTGGCGGGACCTGAGAGGGCCAGGCTGGCTTACTCTCTGGGGATGACCGAGAGCCAAGTCAAGGTAACACACACACACACACACACACACACACACACACACACACACACACAC